CATGATCCTGGAGTCCCAGGATCGAGTCCCGCATTGGGCTCCCTGCTCAGCAGGGAGCCTGCTTCTCCCTCTGACCCTCCTCCCTCTCATGCTCTCTCTCTATCATTCTCTCTCTCTCGCAATAATAAATAAATAAAAATCTTAAAAAAAATAATTTTCATATTGATTACATGTTGAAATGATAAAATTTAGACATACTGAGTTAGATATTTTAAAAATTAATGTTACCTGTTTCTCATTATTTTTTAATAAAGCTAATGAATTTTAAATTATGTAGATGTTTCACATAATCATTCGTGGGCTTTATTCAACAAACATGTATTATACACCCACTAAGGACCATATGCTGACAAGATGAATAAGACATGGTTCTTGCAAGGCTTTTACAGAGTGATGACTAGACAGGCCACTGAATGAGGTTTTCAAACAACAAATATTTATTGAGTGCCTGCTATGAACCAGGCACCATTCTAAATGCAGCTATGCTCCAAAGACACAAAAATCGCTCGTCCATTAGAACATATATTCCAGTGAAAGAACCAGATAATAAAATAAATAACTAAATTACATAGTATATTAGAAGGTGTTAAATGCTGTGAAAAAAAAATAAGACCATGAAGGGCAATAGGGACGACAGAGGATATTGCAATTTTAAACAGGATGGTGTGGAAGATTTCAAGACGCACTACATAGATCCGCCTTCATAGAAGGGAGGCGGTCAGCAGACAATCTTGGCTTTCAGCTCCTTCAGGGTCTGCTTCATCTGCAGAGAGCCACCATGGCTCAGCCATGCCGTTCATGGGGCAGCCCAAATTCGGTAACTAAATGAGAGAGGAATATAAAGGTCTGGCCGTGTTGGTCTGGTGCAGGACATGCTGATAGAGCTCTCTCCCGGATTGGATGAGGATTTGTCAGGCCTGTACTGCAGCTGACTTTTCCTGCCTACTCCTGTTACATCTGCCTCTCTTCACAGCTGTGGATTCCTAATAAATATCCTGCACCCCAATCTCTGTCTCAGCATCTGCTTCCAGAGAATGCAGCCCGAGGGAAAGCCTCACGGAGAAGGTGACATTTGAGCCAAAAAGGAGAGTAGGCAGTAAGCCATGTAGAAGTATAGAGGAAGTCCTCTCTTGGAAAGGGAACTGCAAGTGCTAAGGCCCTGAGGTGAGAACCTGCCTGGGGTTTTCTAGGGCTGGCAGGGCAGCCAATGTGGCTGGAGCAGAGTGAGTGAGGAGTACAGAGAGATGAGGAAGAAGGGTCACGAGACAGACCATGTCGAGCCCTGAGGTCATGGTAAGGACTTTCGCTTTTACTTTAAATGAGATGGGAAGCCAGTGGAGGATTTTGAGGGCAGAAAACTTCCTTAATCTGCTTTCGGTCTTAAAAGGCAAGGGTGTCAGTTGGGAGGCTAATAAAATAAGGCAGTTGAGAGATGATGATAGTTTAGCACAGAGTGCAGGTGGTGAGAAGGCAGCAGAGTCTAGACATTTCTGGAAGGTGGAGCCAATGAACTTTGCTGGATGTGGGGTATGAAAGAAAGAGAAGTCAGGATTTGTGGGATGACCAACTGGAGGAATGGAGCTGCCCTTTGACCAATCTGGGGAAGGTGTTTGGCCAAGAAAACGGAGTTTGGTTTTGGATGTATGAAGCTTGAAGTGCCAGTAGATGTCCAGGTGCAGGAGTTTTGTATACACCACTAAAGAGCAGAAAGGCCTGTACTGAACACGTAACTTTGGGATTTGAAGGGACGTAAATGAAGTGCACCAGGCCACCCTGGGCACGGTCTGTTTTCTGGGCCTGGGTCCTAGAGCCACGTAGTCCCCTTAGCATATGTTTATTGAAAATAAACAAATTCATGATTGAATTTTAAAAACTGGTTGATTCCTCAACTCTGTGAGTTAGTGGTAAAAACTCCCTGAGACCCTACATTTTTGGTTCCGTAAATAAGGTTCTCATTGTTGTATTTACTGAGAAACTCTCAATACAGAGACACCTCATTTTAACATAATATTATTTGTTATTAGATTATTCCTCCCTATAAATGGACTAATAACAGTTCCTTGTGCTGTCTTCTAATATATTTATTTGATGAATGTTCAATGAATTTTTTTTAACAGGCAGTGTAAAATAATGAAACACAAAGGCCAATCATGATCTTCTCTCATCCCTTCTTAGAGAATTTGCTTCACCCAGAAATCCATCAGCTTGTTTTATGGTATGTGCTAAGCTGCCATTTCCTCTCTCCCTCTCCAAAGAGAACCCTTTTCTAGGCTTGGATGAACCATTCTGACAATAGTTAAGAACAGATTTTATTCAGGAACTATTGCAATAAGGGAAAAGAGACCTCTCTATAGAACTGAGCTCAATTCCAAATACAGCATGGACCAGGGGAAACTTATAGCCATGGGGGCTGGGAGGTGTCTGTGAACATTGAACTAAGTGGAAACATCATGGTAAGGGTGGGGGGCAGGAGTCTAGCTAAACCAACTTGACAGGATTCTTCTGAAGGCAGGCCACCTGGGGATAGTGGTGGGTGATGAATTTGATTAGATATTAAGGGTAATCAGATATTGAGGGTGGGGGATCCCTTCTAAACTGACTTAGGATTCTTGCTGAAAGTGGGCTATGCAGGCCTGACAGACACCAAAGCCTAAGGTCGAGCCTCTTTGAAATGAGGGCTTAGGGGAGCCTGACTCAAGTTTGGTCAAGGGGAAAATCTTTGCCAGAGCCTAACATTAGAGATTCTTGAGCTAAGTAGTAACATGCCTGAGTCTGCATTTCAGGGAAATGGATGAAGATGAACTGTGTCTAGGGAAGAGAGGAAGGTGCAACACGTGTTTGGAGGCCTGGCAAGGAGGTAAGGATTGCCATCAGGTAGCCGCTGTGGAAATAAATTGAAAAAGGACTTGGCACCTGGATAAAAGTGGGTTTTTGTGGAAATAGGAATAATTGAATACATAGGAGCCCAACTGGGTAACTGTGGGGGGCAATGATGCCATGAACAAATAGATCAACTGTAAGAGGTGACTTTTGGGGTCTAGATGTTCAGCATGCAACTCAAAATTGGAAATTCAGAGAAGTCTTCCTTTGTGAATTAATATTAGATCAAAACATTTATATTAACAGTTTGGTAGGAAAGTTTCCACTAAAGAGTGGAAGATAAAGGGGAAAAAAAAGACTTATAATTCCACTGTTCTCATTTTGATGTATTTTTTTTTTCCAGTCTTTGCAGGGGCGGGGGGGGGTGCTTTAAAAAGTTTGTACTGTTAGAAATTTAAATTTTGGTTAAGTCAGTATCCCTTAGCCTAGGGCTCCTGAAAAGAAGGCTTCTGGAGACATGTTGGGTAAATATTTGCTCCTAAATAGTGGCTGGATTGATGTTCTGTAACTCTTAAGACTAAATACATACTAACAATAAGTGTTTTCTTTTTTTGAGACTTTTACGTGTTTACTTTAGACTGAGAGTGAAACAGGTCTTTGCGCTAATGAGAAAGCGAAGAGCAAGAAAGCAACTGAGGGTGAAGCAA